ACAAAAAAAAAAAAAAAAAAAAAAAAAAAAAAAAACCATAGCAACCACATCTGTGAGTATCCCATTACAGAGATCAATAACAGAGGATAAGGCAGCAGAGTGTTCTCTGTGAGGTTAGAAGAAAGGCACCTGTCCTGGACTTAAGCTCGGGAAAGGCGTCCTGGTAAGATGACTCTGAGGAGAGGAGCCAAGAATTAGCCAGGTGAAGAAGAAGCAGCAGAACATGCAAAGGACCAGTGGTAGGTATGACAAAGGGCCATTCACACAGACTGACTGGAGCTGAAATCCGGCCTGCTATGCACTCACCATGCTACAGGCCCAGGGCTCAGGGAACAGGGCCATGTCTGCCCAGCAGAGAGGGGGCTTTCTAAACTTCTACTCAAGCTTTACCCTGAGTGAGGAACCAGGAAAAAGCCAGTGTGGTAGTGGTCACACAAGCAGGGAAAGGCTGGGGAGGTGGGCAGGGGCTAAGGACTCACAGGAAAAAGAGGGTGCCGAGACAGGAGTGGGGTGGAGGGCTGAAAACTTCCCCTCCTCAGTCTTAATTTATGAAATCTAGATTGGAAAGGGACCCTGGATTGGTTGAGAGGCATGACAGGAGGAGATTTTATCTGTGTTGGCCCTGAAGGCCACCATGAATGACCTATCCGGGAAAGGCAGAAGGAGACTTTACCCACAGAGAATGCAGCAGCCAAGCATGGTAGCACACACCTGTGATCTCAGCTACTCAGAAAGCTGAGGCAGGAGGATTCAAAGATCAAGGCCAGCCTGGGCAACTCAATGAGATGCTATTTGAAAATCAAATAATAAAAAGGGGTGGGGATGTAGCTCAGCGATCACTGGGCTCAATCTCCAATACTGGGGAAAAGAACTGTTGGAAACCGCCAAGGTCCCTGGAGACTCTGGAAGGCTTGTGACCCTGCCAACAGCTTGATCTTTGACATTGGTACAATTGATTTCACACTTCCAGCCTCCCAAGCTGGACAACTTTCTGTGGCTTTAAGTGGCCAAGTTTGTCACAGCCACCATAGGACGTGAACTCAATCAGGTTTACATCCTGGAAAGATCACCTGGGCTGCTTTGTGGACAGCTGTGCCAGAAGGCCAGCGGGAGGTGCTGGTGCCCGTCCCATGCAGAGGCTGTGCTTGGCAGAGGTGTGAGAAGCACAGAAGTGTGACGTCTGGCTGAACACCAGTTTGGGCAGAGATCTCAGCAGGACAGAGATCTCAGCAGGACAGACGGCAGGCTTGGATTTGGGGCGTCAGAAAGGAACTGGGGGTTTAAGCACAGAGCAGGCAGGCCTGAGTCCTTGGTTAACAGACTGAGTCACTGATGAGCCCCCACTTGGAGAAGTTTTGCACACAGAATCCAGAACCCCACAGATAAGAGGCAGCAAGGCATAATGGGTAAGAATGTGTACTCTGAAGCTAGGCATGGTGGCTCGAGCCCACAATCCTAGCACTCCGCGGGGCTGAGGCAGGAGGATCGCAAGTTCAAGCACAGCCTGGAAACTTAGCGAGACACTGTCTTAAAATTTTAAAATATGGTAATAAAGTAGGGTGAGGAAGTAGCTTGATGCAAAGACCCTGAGTTCCATCCCCAGTTCTAGAAAAAAAAGAATGTGTATTCTGTAATGAAGATGAAAGGAGGGAACACTAGCCCCCAAGTGACTGGGTAGTTGAGGGGACAAAATGATTATTCCATGTGAAGGGCTTAAAACTGTGCCTGGCCTGTAGTAAGCACTCGGCCTCGTGTTTTTTAAGAGACCGTGCTCTCTGAGCCCCGAGCACATGGGGTCAGGTAAAGCACAGGTAGCACTGCTGGAGTGGGGGTCACTTTGCAGTTTCGCTTGCAGTGGGACAGAGACTTGGCCTGTCTGGTACAACAGCCAGGTGAGGCGGGGTCTCGGCTATGGAGGTGGCTACACACAGAAAGGACACGGCAGATCGCAGCAACCTCGGCGCTCCTGCAAAGCTGGAGAGGACGTGGAACCCCACTGCTCGCGCCCTCAGTGGGACACGTTTGGATGCCCACGCGAGTTGGGGCCGCTGTGGAGCACCCTTTTGGTTCATTCATCTATTCATTCTCTCGCTTTTCAGACAGAACAATCCCTTTAAGTGGAAGGTGGGGCTGATCACAGCCCTCCGCAGCTCCCGCCTCACTTAGGGTGTGTCTGTCACTGCACCCACCTAAATATCCAGTACCTTTGAAAGTCAAAATTCCCTGCACAGCCAAACTCCCAATGACAGCACTCTCCACTATTACCTGCATTTGGGGGACAAGGAACAGAGAAATCTGGTGACCTTTCCGGGTTGCACAGACCACAGCTGAGAAGGCTCTGCACCCTTCCCTGAACACCCAGCCTTTGGCACACCCGGCCCAAGAGTCCCCTTGGCACGTATGGGTTTGTTGAGTTTCAGACCAAGAGCCCCATGGCCACTGCTGAGTGAGCTGTGTTCAAGACCCAGAAGACAAGACCCATTCCAGAAAATGTCCCAGGAAGCGAGTCTCTGAGAACACACAGTTCCTATTAAGGGAGCGATTAACCCGATTACTGAAAGCCGAAATGCACGATGCAGGACTGCATTTTCCCTATAATGCATCCGCACATTCTGATACAGTCAGCCCACTGCACTTAGCCTGGGACCTTTTAACAACCGTCAGGCATCTTCCGTTCTGCTCTAAGGGACACCGACCTGCTGAGGGATGGCACCCACCTCACCCCCGGCGGGTATCCCTCTCCTAGCCTGGAGGCACTTCAGGCAACCCCAAGATGCAGGGCAGGAAGCAGCAGCATCAGAGGGCCCTTCAAGGACCATTATTGATTATGGACCACGTGGCGCATGCTTGGCATCCTCTTCCAGGGTAATTATGAGCGGCATGATGTCCTAATTCACTTGGGCAGGGGGTAGTAGCTTTGCTTTCCTGAGATTTAATCCACGCTAATGCAGTTCCATTAGATCACTGATTCGGAGCCTGGACTCGCATCAGAATCATCTGCAGAGCTCTTTAAAAAGTTGACACTCCAGTGTGGTCCGGACACCCAGGCTTGATTGGACCGGGGCAGGATCCAGTCATGGGAACTTGTAGAAGGTGCAGACAGGATTCCGATGTGCAGCCGGGCTGAGACCCCGGGCACTGGGTTAGTGCTTTCTCAAGTGTTACCTCGCATCAGAATCGCGTGGAGAGTGGAAGATGCAGATCGCTGTGCCCCACATGCACAGCTTCTAGCTCAGCAGGCCTCAGACGGGGCCTGAAATCTGCATTCCTAGCAAGTTCCCAGAGAGGTGGAGGCTGCTGCCTGGGAACCACACTTTTACAACCACTTCCGCAGGTCTGCGGTGCGCATCAGGCACACCTGAGTGTTGGGAGACATTATTGTCGACACAGTGGATGAGGGAATAGGGGAAGGATTCCTGCATTCATCAGGTAGAGGCCCGAGACGCTGCTCAGCTTGCTGCAATGACAGGCTTGTGCTCTTATGGGTCCAGAGTGCCGTTTTTCATACCCCGCCCTCCCTGTTCTCACCCCCCAAGGCTTTTGAAATGTTCCCCCATTGGGCTCCCCATCCCCTGTAGCTCGCCCTTCTGCTCACAGATCCCCTGAGCCATCACGGTCACACACAAACCACCCTGGGGGCCTGCAAACGCTTCTGACCTGCCTGGGAGGCTGTGGGGCTGCCTCCACAAAGGCGGGGACCACATCTGGCCTGTTTCCTGCGCTTTGTGCAGGAACACTCGGGGGGTGGGGGCAACGGGGTCTAACATCTGGTCCACACCTAGCTCATGGGGCCTGTGCAGGAAGGGTTTACTCAGAGGTGTGGATAGGCCTGGGGCAGCCCTGCTCTGCTCGCCCTGACTCCTGTGATGGGAACAGTGCCTGCCTGTACCCCACAGGCCTAGCACAGGGAGGCAATCGCAATCAGTCCTTTTCCTGCATTTCATGGGTTGGATATCTGAGCATCCTGCCCAGTCTCCACCCTCCGCCAGTCTCTCTCCCAGGCAGGCTGTGGTCAGTGGGCACGGGGGGTGGGGGGGACCCGCTTCTGCACTTACCCACTGTGCTGAACACCGTGCAGCAGAAAAAGAGTGAGCCCAGGAAGTTCCAGTCCTCCGGCGTCTGGAGCCACTTCTCGGGCTGCACCTCCTGTAGAAGATTCAGCACTTCCTGTTTTTTGTCTTCTGAAGCTGGAAAAAGAGGCCAGGGTGAGGCAGATGCTCTGCCCATGGCGACAGTTCTGTCCATGCCAAGGGGACGGGGTATTCCCGAGGACCGGAAGCTCCCCACTCCGGGGTCCCTCTCCACATCAACGTTTTCAAATGTCTCTGCGGCTGAGTTTTTCTCCCTGTTCCCAGTACAGATGTGGAGGCTGGGTAGCCCGTGAGACGAAGCCCTAACACATGGTCCTGCCCGTCACCCTGAGCTCAGCCCCAGAACTGCTGCCTGGCCTCCGGGGGCTCCCTTCACTTTGAAAACTTTTGTTTCTTTCACCTTTCAAAAGTGGATTAAAAACTTTCTGCTCTGTCTCTCTCATGGGATTCCTAGAAACAGAAAGCAAAATGGCGTGCAGGAAATGGAAGCCATCAAATGGATATAAATCATACCCAGGCTGGAGGAATAAGCTTGTGGGATGTGGTGATCATACCAGGTTCCTAACACCAGCTCCTAAGGCTGCCTCTTCCAGGCTAGAAAGCTGTGGCTTCCAAAACACCAACCCCTGCTGAGAAGCCACAAGTGGGTCTGTTGGCCTGTGCAGCCATGGGCTTGGCTTCCCCAGAAGCTGCCTGCCAGGCCCTGGTGTGGTCAGAAAAAGATGACACCCTGCATGGTGCACAGGGGAAGTCGCCACTCCTTTGGATGGTGCCAGTGGGAAGTTCATTCTAGGCTCAACCTTGACCCTGGCTACTCCCTGTAACCGTGGACAAGAGGCTGCTCTCCCAACCTCAAGTTCCCTGTCTGCAAGACTTGGTGGCAAAAGACTCAGACTCGATTCCAGATGCCTGGGTTGAATGCCTGGCTCTATGTTTCTAGTTTGTGAATTTGGACCAGTTGCTTAGGTTCCCTGTGCCTCAGTTTCCAAATTTGAAAAAGGAGGACAATTTATTTCCAACCTAAAGTGTTCTTGGGAGGACTCAATGGGGTACTATGTGAAAATGGTTCAGCCCAACATCTGCGTTTAACTAGTACTTAAAAATCATATTAATCTTCAACAAAAATCAGTACAAAATGGAGATGGACTAGCTTTGTGTTCTCGTGCCCTACTGTGTGTTGAAATCGTTCCGGAAAATTAAGATTTCCAGCCTGCCATTGAGATCTTGACAAAGTGGTTTCCGGAAGAGCCTGGGAAAGTGTACATTAGACAAAGTCCCTGGATAATTATGAAGTGTGGGCTGGTTCGGAGATCTTTGAACTTGCCATAGGTCAAGCTCCCTGGCAGTGGCTATGGCCCCTCCCAGGTGTCTGTCGGGCAAGGGGCCACAGTACACCCTTCCCCAAGGGGAGATGCAGCCTCACTGGACCCACCCTGAGGCAATCCCAGCTGAAACAGTCTGCTTTGGACAAGGCAGGGCCTGGGGAGGAGGGCGAGCAGTTGGCTGAGCCTGGCCACATCAGGGAGTGAGGGACAAGCTCCCGGCACCAGTCCCTGCCCTGGCTTTGAGAGCCTGTTTATCCTTTATCTGTTATTCATGGACTCTCACTTTCTGTTGCTCCACTGAATATATCTTCGCAGACTTCCTTTGGCCGCAGCACATGACTAATGGACTGCAATAAGGACATCTGTAAAGTGACCTGCGTCTTCTAGAGCTTTATGTCCTGTATCTGCTGGGCTTCCCACAAAGGCTTGAACTGTGGGTGGATTCCTCCTTCTCTGCAGGAGAGGAACCACACAGCCAGGTGGGAGAGCACCTGGCACCAGCCCCAGCCCCTGAGTTGTTCTCACAGCCCCTCCCCTGCCTCTCAGTGGACCAAGTCTTTGAAACAGGAAGTGGGCAGCCAGGGGCAGGCTGCTTGCTTATCCCAGGGATCCCAACCCAGTTTGTATGAGTCCTTAAATTCTACTCTGCAAGGGCTGGGGATTTAGCTCAGTGGTTCCACCGCCTGCTTTGCAAGAGCAAGGACCAGAGTTCAATCCTTGGTACCAAAAAAGAAAAAAAGGAAAAAGAAAAATTCTACTCTGCAAACCGAATCTTGGGTCAGGCAGACCTCCCACTTTCTGAGGAGCAGCCTAGGAAGCTGCTGGGCCACACATCTCCTGCATTCAGCCCAGCCCTCCAAATCCAGCCGTCTGCTTTCCCCAGGGCCTGCCTACGAGGTGGGCTAGGGCTGGGACTGCAGCAAAGGAAAGAGAACTGACCCTTCAGAGTATCCTAGACTTCGTGCTCTTCCTATGTTCTCCGCAGCACTCTTGAGAGGCCAGTAATCTCCCCTTTTTTCCAAAGGAGAAAAACTGAGGCTCAGAGAGAAGTCGCTTCCCTAAGGTCTCCCAGGAGTGGGGGGATGCGGGGAGACGCCCCACACACACACACACAGGGGAAAGGCTTGCCTGCCCGGGGAGGCACCCACCTGTCGCCGTGCAGTTCAGGATTCTAGACATCTCACTCAGGAACTTCTGGAACTCGGGTTTATTTTCTGCCCTCTGGACCTGGCTGCCCTCAATCACGGAGAACAGCACAGCACCCAGCAGGGCGTAGGTCACCAGGCAGCCGAGGAAGCAGAGGCCTGGCAGAAGCTTCCCTAGGGCCACGGGGCAGCAGCCGCTGGCGGGGGGCGCCCCTTCAGCCTCCATCTCCTGGAGCAGAGCGCCTGGGGCTGGACAGGAAGAAGAAGCCAGAGCATCCAGACCCTGCAAGAGCAGAAAGGTGGGAGTGGCTGGAGGATGGCCGGGCTCCAGTGCTGAGTGGATGTACATTCACTTCCCCAAGGACCGGGGAAGCAGCCGGAACCCATCACGTTCAATTCATCAGAATTACTCTGATGGCGCCCCTGCTATCGCCCCAAATTGCTATTGATCCAGTGGCCAGCTCCAGAGCTGCCCTGCAGGGGCTTTAGGAAAGCGGCGTGGCTATTGTTTTGTGCTGTGTTTGGCCTTTCCCATCCTGAAATTTCAGCTTCTATTTCCAGGTACCAAGTCCTGTTTTGGTTTTTAGGCCAGTGTTTGTCCTTCCTGTAGTTGGCCTCGCCTACCTGGTCTCCTTGATGAGCAGTAATAATAATAACAGTACAGCCAGGGCCTCGCTGTTTCCCAGGAGCCTTAATCCTGTATGGTTCTAATGACCGGCCCCAGTTATTCACTCCCCTGTAGCATCTGCACCTGCCCTGTAGCCTCACAGTAGACAGAGGATACTTCCTTGACTCTCAGCTTTGGGCAGGCCACCTGCTGCTCCAGCCCATTGGATAATAGGAGACACAGGGATTTTGTCAGCTTTACTGTGGCCAAGGCTCTTCCTCCCCTTTCCTTTCACAGGTTTTATTCCCAATAAACATTCATAGATACGCTCCCTCTGTATCTGCTGTCGTTGGCAACCAGAGTGTCCAAGGAGCTCTAAGACGGACTTGCAGGACCGAGACACTCAGTACCCATGTGGGTACCCGGCTGTCCCATTCTTTGACAATTCATCAGCGTTGGACTGCGGTGGCTGTGGACTAGTGCAATGATTCTGGCATTTGAAGCTTACTGGAGGAATGAAAAATTCAAGAGTAATGAGTCTGAAAGGCCATTCCAAAGTTGCAATGGTCCCCAAGGGCAAACTTGGGTGAGGCAGGTTGCAGGACAATACGTAGACCCTGTTGCTATACTGGGTCAGGGAGACACCCAGGACTCAACATCTTCTTCCTTCACCACCCATCCCGACCTCCCCTCGCCCTCTGGATTCTCTGACGGAAGCCACCTCCTTACTTCAGGGCATCTGGCCCCAAGTAACCACCTCCTATCTGGGCTGTGGTGTCCACTGGTTCCACCCATGTCCCTCGCTGCAGGAAAGCAGCCGCATTTCCAGCAGCCGGTCAGGCTGATGTCCCCCGACAAGATGCCAGGATCCTAAAATATTCAGGCGGCAGGCATAAGGTGTAATTCAATGAACCCCTTGCTGGGGTTTTCGATATGTTCCCCCTGGGGACCAGGGCTTCTAGCCCCATAGGGCCTGGAGTCCTGGGGTTGGAAGAGAGGGGACACATGTGGCTGCATCATCTTCAGCTGGGTGTGGAAAGAAGCAGCACTTCTCTGGTGAAGCCTCCAGTGACCAATCTTCCGATCAGGCCCCTCTTCTAACATCACATTCGGTTAGGGTGCCCCGTGATCCAGCTTCTTTCCAAAAGCTCCACTTTTGAACACATGGAGCTTCAAGGGACAATCTAGACCTTAATCACAGCGCCTAGTTTATAAACTACTCCATTTTGATTTTCTTTGTTTTGTTTTGTTTTTCCTTTTTGAGACAGGGTCTTGTCAGCAGTTCAGGCTGGCTTTGAACTCATGTAGCCCAAGCTGACCTCAAACACATGGTAATCGTTCTGCCTCGGCCTCCTGAGTGCTGGGATCCTAGGTGTACACCACCATGCCTGGTCTTGCCTGAAGTACCCTGGAGTCAGCTGGCCACATGTGAGCCACTGTGATGGTGGCAGTAGGACTGGGTGAGAACTCATAACAGAAGGGGCCTTCTGTGGGTAAAGTCAGGACCACAAGGGCTGGCTATTACACATCTCCTCAACTACACAGCTCTCTGAGTTCCTCTGTCGGAGGGAGGAAGGGAAGGATTTTCTAACAGTGCCAGAGGCCAGCCAGCCCCATTTCCCAAGGAGAAAGGAAGAAGGTCAGGGAGAGGCCTAAATCCTCTGCTAAGGAGGCAGCAGATGGATACCAGTCAGCCAGCCATAAAACACCCAGGGTCTTCTGAGGGAGGGCCAGATGGCTCAGGGTAATGGAGGTCTCCACTGTCCCGTGGAAAGGGAAGACATAGACACATGGGCTCGTGTGCCAAAATACAGTGAGCTGCTAACACACTGTGTCTGGAGGCACAAGAAAGGGATTCCAAGAGTGGGGCAGCCCAAGTGGACATGGAAAGGGACCAGATCATGGATGCCAGGGGAGCAGAACGAGGGCCAGCTGAGAGTGGACCAGTAGCGTCAGGTCTCCCTGATGGCACACTTTTCAGGTCCTGATGGGGGAACTAACCGTCGCTTTTTCCTCTTGTAAGGGTCAGACCATTTTTGCTACTTGTAGGAGATAGCCCTGCCCAGTACTAGCGGGCTGTGAGGGGCACGTGCTTCTTGCCTTCCCTAATTCAGCTATATTGTTTTATATCAGGAGTCAGACCAAAGCCCTGTGTCACTCAAACGGGCATGGCAGCTAGCAGAGTTGGGCTAGTGTCACTCCTTTGCTAATGGCTCTCATCGAGGCCTAAGTCCTGGACTCTGAAGTGGCCGGGCCCTGCTGAATTACATGCAGCTGAGGTCAGTGTGACCCCAATTAAAATCCTTTCCCCTGAATTATGGCTTCTCACTTGTGGGTTGCTTGCTAATTGCACCTGATCCCCGCACCGGTTTCTTCTATCATAGCAAGATAAGCAGTGTCGGCTCCCTGACAGCCCTGGCTGGCGCCATCATGCCAGGTGTTTGGCAGGAATTCACTTGATGCCTTCGAAGCTCCCTAGCTTCCTGTTCCTTCTCACGATTGTATTCACTAAATACTGGATGTGCCTGGGGGCCTTTGTCTTTGCTGTCATCAGCAGCACTGACCAGGATCCAAGATTCAGCTTCTTCATTACAGGTCTCGTTCAGTCATTCTTTAACCTGTCGCTGGTGCTGTGGTGGTTCACAGGAGGCTGGGACCTACTGCAAGGGTCTCCAGCAACGTCCACTTCCCCCTGACCCTTACAACTACACAGGATCACAATATACAGGTAAAACAAAGCCACCCTTTGAAGCCACTCCTGGAGGACCCACCTCCGTCCTGGTAGATGCAATTTGCACAGATAGTGGAGAAAGCAGGTAGTATTATTCTGACAGCCAAAAATGAACCCTTCTAATCCATGTAGATGTCCTCTGAAAATTCACATGATGAAACCTCAGACCCAAAATGAGAGTATCAACAGGTGAGGTCATTAAGGGTGGGTAAGTGATGAAGCCAGAGCCCTCATGTCTGGGATTAGTGACCCTATTAAGGGCCTGGAGAGAGCAGCCTTCTACCCTGTGAGGAAGATGCCATGAGAGGAGGCCATGAGGGACAGGCCCTCACCCGACTCTGAACATGCTGGCACCTGGAACTTGGACTTTCAGTGAGAAATAAATTTTTGGTCTTTATAAGTTACCCAGTCTGCAGTATTTTGTTACAGTAACATGACTGGACTAAGACAGGAAGGACAGCATGGCCTCAGCTGGTGTGAGCGCTCCTGCTGCTGGCTGCCTGGAGACATGACTACCGCGTTCTTTCCTCTCTTCTCTTTCCTTTTCTTATGGTTTAGAACTAAAATGTCCTCCAGAAGCTCATGAGTTTGGTACGTGGATGGATCATGGGAGGGCGATATGATCTTGGTTGATTAACCCGTTGATGAGTTCACGAATGTGCTGTTAGGTGATTGGGGCCTGGGTGGAGGTGGGGGACTGGGGGTGTGACCTGGAAGAATTTATTCTTGTCTCCTGCTCCTTTTTCTCTCTTTTTTCTGGCTATCATGGACTGAACAGCTTTCCTCTATTGTGCCATTTCTGCCCGCAGCCCTCCAGCCATAGATTGAATCCTCTGAAACGTGAGCCAAATAAAGCTCTCCTTTAAGTGAAAGTGTCACATATTTTATCCTAGTAACAGGAAAGTGACTAGTAAATCCCTCCTTTTCCCTTTTATGTCTCTTGAAAGAGTACAGGCATTCAGGGAGTGGGCTGCTCGATCACAAGTAATGCACTAACTCTTTTAAAAATAAGGAGCCAATTACACGCCTACATTTTGACATGGCATAGGTTCCTAGAGTGAAATTGCTGTGTTACAATCGAGTTGTACAGCCAACTTTATATGTATGAGCTATAGGCTTAGTGATGTTAGGGGAAAGCGTGGGAATTGAAGAAAAAATGTCTTACTACAAGAAGACCAGCAGAGACAGGATGGCCACGCCACACACGGAGACTCCAGAGGGTGACTGTTACTCAGGTCTCCACCTGTGGCCTCAGGGCTATGCCCTGGGGGAGGTTCTATGGCCTGCAATATCAGGGATATGGGAAGAAAGCAATTCTTTCATAACAGCCGGGCTTGTAGGGCGACACCATAGAGAAACCTCATTGAACTGTAGGTAGCCCTGGACCAAATCCTGACTATGGATCCCCCTTCCATACCTAGACCGTCACTCAGTTAGTGGATGGGGAAAGGGGACTAACTGTAACAAAAGGGGCCAAAATGTGCACGCAATGGGGTAATAGGGTTCTCCAAGGAAACCAGACCAATTTAACACATACAGAGGAAATTTATTTATTGGCTCGCTCGATTTTGTGATGAGAAGTTCCCCAATGTAGCCTTGGTGAATTGGAAACCCAAAAAAGCCAGTGGTCTGAAGCTCAGAGAAGCTGGAGTCACTGGTGTAAGTCTGCAGGCCCCAGAACTTGGAGTTCTGATATCCCAGCACTGTGATACAGAAGAACACGACGTCCCACCTCAAGAACAGAGAGCCAATTCTCCCTTCTTACATCTTATTATTCAGTCTGACCATCAAGGGATTGCATGATGGCCATCCTCTTTGCTGAGGATGGATCTTCTTTATTCAGTCAAGAGATTAAAACACTACTCTCTCCTGCAATATTACACACACACACACACACACACACACACACACACACACACCTAGAAATAATCTTGTGCCAGTTCTTTGGGCATCACATGGCCCCATTAAACTGACACACAAAATTAACCATCACAAGTGACTGGACAGAAATGGAAGTTGGTT